CATTGATCCTCCTCGGGCGGGACCGCATTTAGACTAAGCCAAGAGGTTATTGAATCATGCGCATTATTCATCGAGACAGCATCGGGATTCCATTACTACTGCAGCATTGCTAAAGATTATTCCGAAGGACAGGTAGATATTAAAGTGCAATGCAATAGAACTTTTCCCATGAACACCTTCAAATACAACCTTTATGTCCCATTTCAACTTTTGGTATGGGGTGGTGTTTTTATGCTTTTTATGTAAATTCGATTCCAATTTTCATGAGCCAAACATTGATATCATCATTATGCATGGAATGTTTTAGTTGCGTGAGTACGTAATGCAATCATTGTGTGTTTTGGGTTGTGGCCTCATTTACGGGTTTAATTCTCTCATTTTAGTTTGTTTTTACGACATGATATAGGCCTACAGGCAATCGTTCATCAGCAAACATCTTCAGCGCTAGCACAGTTTCAGGGACATCAGACCTACATTCCGGACAGAAAATTCTTAAAACTGAAAACTTTTAATCTCATGCCTAAGAGCAACAGCGCCCTCAGATTTCAGTAACTATACAGCATTTTAAAAGTGAACATTCACTTCAAACAAATGAAATGAAACAAAACAAAAACCTTGTCTCATTTTTCATGAAGTTCAGAGGCATGGATGTTTCGTCACCGACACCACGAAGTAACACTCTACGTGTAAAACCATAAAAAAAATTCGATTTTCAGTTTTTTACATTTTTAAACATTATTCATCAAGGCCTACCCTTGCACGAAGTTTCAAAGCTTCCGGAGCTTTACTTTAAAAATCACGCTAATTATCCATGGCAACTTTTGCGAAAAAGCGACAATTTTCGTTTTCACGAAGTAACGAACACTCAAGTTCCATTTACCATTGCAATGCATGGCGCGTGCTCTGTTCAAATGTGAGCAAAAACGTTTTCACGAAGTAACACTCTCCTTGTACGAGCGCGCGCTGACCTAAGTTGCACTTTCCTCGTGTTGTATACATTGAAGAGTGTAACTTCGCGAAAACGAATATGTACAGTTTCGCAGCTTTTTCGGTTTCACTAACACTCACCATTTTTCTCTCATTTCTTGTTGATTTAATACACAAACTGGTGAAAAACAGCAGATTTTATAAATTCAATTCATCAAGTGTCCACAACGAGAAACCCAACTGAAAATAGGCTCTGTTTTTTTTACGCAAAGTGTCGTTTTAGAAGGCGTTCAACTTGAGATGCCGTTTTCTCCGATTGCTAGTTTTTACTGGTATGTACATGGGTGTTATTTCGTGGTGTTGCTGACGATTTGTTTGTTTTAACGGGGGAAAAAAACTACCTTTTTCTGAAAACAAATTTTTATTTTGGAATTACATTTGCGCACAAAAAAAAAATGATTTGCCCTGTGGGTAGACTGATTCCAGGAACTCACCACAATATCGACAACTGAATTATTGTTACAGTGGCAGATTGTTCCCCCCCCCCCCCCCGGCCCCACACCGTTTAGCCGCTGACTAATGTTATACTAGTAAAATTGGGCGAAATTATTGAATGCTATGAAATTCCTACATTTATTCTCAAATTGCGACAGAGTGCTGGAGAAAGCATCGTACTTTTCCAGGGGGCATGCCCCCGGAACCCCCCCCCCCCCCCTTTCCACAAAGCTAGATCCGCCCCTGTGTTGGGCCGCAAAATTATTGTTCAGCCGCTGATAAATCGAAATGTGAAAATAAACTCGGTCAATAGGGGGCAGTATTTGAAGAAATAGAGACATGTTATCGCTGTATGGTTTGGTCTGAACTGAATGGTCCGAACCATCGCAAGGAACTGATTGTAATTGACAACATAGATTCACAGGATACTTGATCCTATTATATTTACTTACAATCAAGTGGGATGTTTTGTAATATTTGGGCAGTTTGCTTTTTGAATGTCCATTCCTTTAAACGGCGCGCATACATGAACCGGCACCGCTTTATTTTCTTACGGACCGGGAGTAAGCGTTACCCACAATGTATCCCCACAACCCCGTCCCCAGCCCCGGTCAATCCTGAGAAGGTCCAAAATATCCCGGTTCTGGTGGGATAATTAATTTAGTATTCCCTTTATTACACGCTTCGAAAATAATGTATCATAGAGGTAAAATACCTCGTTTTATGGATAGAACCTCGGGGAAATAAATCGGAGTTTTCCGTCATGATAATTCTCTGAAACTTAAAAACGCGCATACAAACTTATCAAAGTTTCCGGTCGATGAGTTCTGTCATCTGATCTCAGGGAAAATTAAAGGTAACGAATGATACATGAAATGCGTGATAAACCCTCCTAAATCTGTAGACAGAAAAATGACTGAAGAAGTCGAAAGAATTTAAAGAATATTTGCCACAGAACTATGTGCGGCTGGAACACAATAAGCACTGCTATTAGGCCTAAAACAAGTTACAGTTTTTTAGAACTAACAAAATGATGGGAAGGGAAGTTTTGTTGCGAGTATCGCCCGGACTTGAAAATTACCGATAGGTGTAACCGATAGAATTTCTCACAACGGGGGAAAATACCTCATGCAAAAGCAAAAACCCGCTAAATCACCTCATATTGAGACATAATCATTAGCTGCCTCTTCGCATACAGCTATACACAGAACCCAAAGCGGTAGGGAACCATATAAAATAAATGTTTCTAATATTTTGTGATGGAAAGCAATATTATACGAAACAGAATCATGAATTTTCATGCATTCAGAATGTGAAATTATTTTTTACTTCTACGGATCGTTTATTGTTTGATGTCAATCCCAGTCTCTACGTATTTTATAGCACAGCCAATCAAGAACAACTTAGTTTTGACAAGCCTGAACTATTATTTTTTAAACTATTTTCAAACCGGTTTATGATTTTAAAACCTCATGTTAAAGTAATCAGTTTTATTCTTCCATTTGCTTAAAATAATATGGTGTTTGTTTCCCCACACTCACCCTTCCTGTTGACTGTAAAATCTAACTTTTTTGAGGTCAATATTTTTCCCCCGATCGTTTTGGTTTCCCACATCCCGAGTATTGACACGGTACCAAGGAAGTTCCACGCCCAAGAATATCAACATTGACGTTATATATCGCAATGAATATCTGGGAGCTGTTTTGATGAGCCAAATATCGTGAAACTACATTTTGCCAGCCGTCGATCATCCGTCGGGTCCGCAGGATTGTGAATAGCGCCCTCATGAAGAACCGATAAAATTAATTACGGATGCAATGACTAGGCCTGTACTTTTGCCTACTTTCTTTCCTGGACTCTTGTCCGTTGATTTATGATGTCGGTTTATTACAATTCACTGAGAGTCACTCTCAGGACTTTACACGAAATCTGAATACAGTCCATGACGGACATTTTAATGAAATACGCTTAGTATTAAAATGTTACGCGCTAGGTACTGAACACCTCGCCGCGCGCGAAGCCGAGTGGTGGTGGTGGGGGGGGGGGGGGGGGGGGGGGGGGGGCGGCACATTCCCCTACCTCTAGCCGTCGCAGCTATTGCTCACTCTCCTTGATCTTTACCCAATGCAGCATTCCTTTGTTCCTTCCCATCCCCCACCTCAATTCCTTTTAGCCCTCTCAGAATTTTAAGAGGTCATTCAAGAGTTTTTTCATGACCAGGCCTATTCAAAGTCATTCACTCCCCCACCCCCCTCCGAAAGTGAGGTACCTAAAAGCTCCACTGACCTGGCCCTCCCCTGCAACTAATAATCATGACGTCACTGGCGCGTTTACACGCATTGGTGTTTTGTTTTTATCCAACTACTGACCAGAGCACGTTGAAAAAGCGACTGGCGAGCCCAAAAGCGACTGGCGGGGGGTGGGGGGGGGGGGGGAGGGCGATGAGTATTTCATGAAAAAGTGGCGCTATTTATTCGCTCATAAAATTGGAAGACGAAGACGAAGTAAAAAAAAACCTCCGAATTTGCAAATGCTTCTCCGGGGGGGGGGGGGGGGGCATGGGCGTCGCGGGGGGCAAGGGACCCCCCGGAAACGGAAAAAAAAGGAAAAAAGAGGTGTGAAGCCATATTGCTGTTTATTTGATTGCGGGGTAGGGCAAATGCTCCCCTGCTCGCGCTCGGAAAAATGATAAATTGAGAATATAATGCAAAAGTTAAGGAATTTTGGGGAAAATTTTGCTTTGCCCCCCCCCCGAAAAAATCCTGGCGACGCCCATGGGGGGCGCTTCCCCGAGCTGGATAGCCCCCCCCCCCCCCCCCCTACGCTGATGGTCATCATGCTACGGACCAGTACCAGTGTAGGCGGTTTATAATTATGCATACAGGCTGTTATAAGGGCGGGCTAAACTAAACCCATCCTAATTCGTTGCTTTATCCATGGAGGAATTCCTCCATGCTTTATCCATGGAGGTAGTTTCAGCTTTATCAGAAATTACTATCCGAGTATCTCAATTTATATGCGATTTAATTATGATTGCAACTCAACGCGTCGACGAGTCGTCGGAAAAATTCCCTCGGCAGAGTCGGCGCGTCCAGCCAGCCGGAGACGAAATTTTGGGCACACCCAGTTTTTCTCAACATAACTCGGCTTTTAACATTAATGTTTCGATTATGGGTTCGTCTGGTTATTGGCCCCCAGCCTACTCTCACAACAATGAACATGCATGCTACAAAAGGTCACTGACTGATGATAGCGTCGTCGCGTTCGCTCGTACCCCCCCCCCCCCCCGGCCCCCCAAACAGGATGCAGGGCGGGACTAGCGAAGTCGTCGCGTCGAAAGGCATGTACGGTGGCTTATAAGGATAATACCACTATTGCAACAATAATTTCCAGTCGACTCACACTCCAATTTGTTTTCTTCTTGGGACATTGCATGCACTTTATCGAAACCATATAAATCAGAAATAACGTTGCTGTGAGAAAATGAATCAAAGAATATTGGAAGACGACTTATTGTTGATTAAAGGACTTTTTCAGGCTTCCGTAGTAATAACGATAGCGCGCTGGATCATGGCGCAGCGTGTATACACATGTACGTGCATACACATGCAACACGGACATGGACATCGTATCAACTTCCTAGGAGTAGGAACCTGTAGTCCTCGTCGTGTGGGCAAATTTGTTAATTCATATCGGAAATATCCACTTGAAAGTACTGTCAGGAAGTGTAGATTGTATGTGGTGAGTGACAACTGGGCTCCCTGTAACTGGACTTGAGAAAGTTGGTGCAATCTGCGACAAGTAGGAGAAGATATCGGTAAAGATGGGAGATGTACAACATGAACAGGGAGACTCACCGTACGAATCCATAGCGAAGATTGACACCAGCAAGAAAGAGGTTTGGCAAGAATTTCCAGCGCCATAAATGTCCATCGTGTTACATTGATCATCAGCTTAGATTTGAAGTTTGATGCGCTGCCAATCATTTCTTTCTAGATGATTCTCAAGCTAAATTACTACAAAAAAAGTACAAAATTACTATTCCCGTAAAGATTCCCATAATGGCCATATCTGCCCATCACTTGTCACCCTATATGCACAGTGCACATACCAATGAGTATGAGACTGACAGTAACTGGTCTGAAAATTTACTTCAATATTTTCCCCATGCAAATTTTGACTTTTTAAGATATATGATCACTTTCTGATGGCTGATAGTGATACTAGTCACTGAAGGGGAAAATTAGTGATGGCCAGAAATGGGAATCTTTCCAAAACCTACTTTCTTTTAAACATGCAAATTATTTTTCGAGTGGCATGACTAATGTTCCATGACGCATGGCACAAGTCATGAAATTCGGGGAAAGAATGGAGAATCCCACTGCCATTTTTTCTTTACAGCATTATCTTTACAGCAGTCGACCGTCTGGTTCCTTGACCTGATCATATTCAATGTCAGGATATTTGGCTCTTGGATCCCGACTTTCAACAAAATGGTTCTCGGACTTTAATATTTCCCTTAAAAAAAAAATCTGCAAAACCACGGATAGCAAGAATTAATGAAATCTATAAAGTTCAAGTAAAAATGTAGGGAAAAGAATGTTGCATCCTGACGCCATTTTTTTATCATATCATCTCAATAAAGGTGAATCATTGCAAAATGTTGAATCTACATGAATCTAAAACTGAGAAACATTTCCAATTTTGATAGGAAATACTTTGAAAATGTTCTTGACTATCCATAGAGTTTGTACACAAACGCGGAAGTGGCATCTGGACTACATTCTTTCCAATTAAAGGATTTGATTTAAAAAGCCAAGAAAGGAAAAAAAATCATAGTGTGGATTCGATCCAGGAACCTTCGGCATGGTAGTCCAACATTTAACCAATCAAGCTATCGAAGCGCTCTGGATGGAACGGCAGAACTGTGATATAATTTGCAACGATGTTTTTTGCAATGTCATTTTATAATAATAGGCCTACCTATTGCGGTTAATGATAGCCACTATGTATGTTGACTTTTATACCATATTCAAATTTGTAGCAAATCATTCACTGTCATGAGTGTGTTGGCTTGGCATGACACATGATGATGGACACAGCTAAAAAATATGTAGAGTTTGGGAGAGAGTGGAGTAGCCTGCTGCCATTTTTAAAGCTTTCTGTTGGTTAGTTGAACTTACCCTTTTGTACACAATCTTCTATTTTGGAGACTGCAGATAATTACAAAATTCCCTCTGTGCCATTTTGGTTTCTTTCAGTCTTTTATGAAAGTGATATTCAATTTAAAGACAATAAAGTCATTCATTGCAGGTGTATGTAGATAAAATAATAATTATGAACTCACTGTAGATTTACAAACATTTCCAATTTGCTACCCACCATACGCACGACGCTTAAAACTACACTCAAAATAATGCAGATACCGCGGATCAAAATGTATAATTTGTATGAACAAACACTTCCAATTTTGCAAGACGCTCATTGTATTTGCACATACATTTGCATAATAAAAATAAAACTACAGGCCAAATAATTAATTATTTTCACCAGGAATTGTACAGTGACCAGTAGGCCTACAGTGTTCAATACATGCATCACCCCAGTAGCATCAGGTGTTCAATTCCCATCATGTGTGATAACGAGATTTCACATATTACTGGTGCTGCTAGTACAGTAGTACAGTCTGCGTGGTAAGCTGTCCTGTTGGAGCTGGAATACATGTACATGCAGTTGAGTACTCCCTAGTTGTCAGTGCAGACTGAATACTCCCTAGTCAGTTGAAGGTCAAACTCATTGGGTCCACACAGCTGTCCCCAAAGGAGTTCTGCATTATGTAGGGCTTTCACAGTATTTCAATACAATTCATAAGGTACACAAAATACACACTATTTAGACACTGTACTTGTATTCTGATAAAGAAGACATACAACATGCATCACAATCAAATTTTGAGGTGTAATTGTTGCAGTGTTAAAGTTTGTCATTTTGAATGAACTTACGGGACTACCGTAATGAGCTGAGCTGTCCATTTGAGTTCGGGCAAGTGATGAAGGGTCCAAAGAGTGCAATGTCTGACCTTAAAGTCACCTTCTGCAGGGCTTGAATTTCAGGTTGAAATGTACTTGGGGCTCAGACATTTTACTTAAAAAAAATAATCTTAGTTTTGTACAAAAGTAGGCCTATAGTTTTGCAGATTGAATTGCAAAAAAACCACTTATTTAATTGAAACAAAAGTGGTTAATTTAAAGTCATTCAATGCTCTCAAAAGTCTCATTCATTGACTGGTAAATTGCAGATGAGATCAACATTTTTGTAAGATGTGAGCATGTTTGAAATGGGACCTCACATGGAGCCTGTAACACAAAAATTTAAAAAAAGATTCTACGAGAGAGTGCAAAGGTGGTCTATGGAGACCTTTTCACAGCAAAGGTCTGTGGTATGCAGATTTGGTGATTAATTATGCAAAATCCTGCGTCCTGACCTTGAGATTGTGACCATTCACAGCAGGCGCCTTGTATCAGGTAACTCCTTGTATCAGGTAACCCGTTGTTGTATGCCCTGAGCCAAGTTGACCAATCAACAGCTTTAGACAACATTTCTGATCGAAATGGCGTCACACACTCACAATTTTCACATGTAACGGTAGAGTCGACTTTGATTGGTTGGCGCGCAAATTCACATTAAATTTACATCGCTCACATTGGACAACGGGTGGTACCAGTACTCAGTGCAAGGGGTGCATTGGCTACTAAAACACTGAGGTGTTTGGCCGCTGACAGACTGATACAGCAAGTTATGGCAATCGGTGCATCGTGCGTTCTAAAAGCACCCCTCTCTGGTAAAATATTGCAATGGGCTTTGCCTTGTTCAGTGTTGTTGGGAAAAAAACAACATGTATACTGCAGGCTGCAGCCAGTTACATGTACATGTACATATAACCTGTTGTAGTATTAAAGACAGAAGTGCATAAAACAAGGCCATCAATTATTGGAAGTCATTTAAAGAAGACAATGGTAATTCCATTATGTATTCCATTGAAGCAGAAAATCATTTCTCCATGTATACTGTAATGTGTACACGCATCTTTTGAATGACTACATGTAATCCATTGACTACAAATGAGAACTCATTACAGAGACCCTGTTTTAACAATGCTGGCATGCCAGTGAATGTTGCCAGGATTAATTAACAAGGGGTTCTCAAAACCAGGGCTTCCTTGGACTTCTGGAGATTGGGTTTGTCTCAGTTATGGGCCCATTTCTGCTCAAAACACCAAGTCTTTTGTGTGCGGTATTGGATATTGAGAGTCCAGGCTATTACATGTGTATGGAAACAGAATGGGGGTAAGTCTAAAGCCCGGCGTACAATGTACACCTTTACGATGGTACTGGTTCACATGATGAACATTCGAATGCATTGCAGATGACGCCTGAGGCTCACGCGGAGATACTGTTGCTTCATGCAAATGCGTACGCAAATGCGTACGCAAATGCGTACGCAAATGCGTACATTTCATGCTTACACGGCGAACCAGTATGCACATGCGTTGTGTCCCGTCCATGGGACTCTCAAAAGTGGTCCAAAAACACCCTCTGCTGTTCACAACTTCGCACAGGGAGCCCATACAACTTGTAAATTTTGTAAACCCTTCCCCCTCCCTTAGTCTGGGTCCAATACTGGATTCTTCCCCATATGCAGTCAGTCTCTGACAAGTGCCGTAAAGCTGCCTGCAGTTAAAGGTGCTATCAACAGGATGAATCAAATCCAGTCTTAGGAACTTTGGCAATGCTACCTGGGAAACTTTGTGTTACTAGCAACCTCTGTCCCAGTGCCATCTTTACAGAGCATGACACTTGGACTGGATGCCTTGTTAGGGGAATAAAAAGGAAAACCCAGACTTGGACCAAGATTACCCCTCACCCACACGCCACAAACATACTGTACGGTAACATTTACATCTCCAGTACATATTTTTTATGAACACTATGTATCGTGTGGAGATTTAAAAATCATTATCAGTTCTAGCACAATAGTGTCTGCTGTAATGTACACAGAAAAAATTTTTGCACACAGGACCCTGGAATATTGTGTGACCTTTGAGAGTTATGCTGTATACCTGTACATGTTTGTACATGTACATGTACATGTACATGTAGGTGTGTGTCATGAATGTGTTCGTTGTGCAATGTATGTGCCATGGTACTTTTATGTACCGGGTAAGGCACGCGATATTGAATGGCATCTTATAAATTACATATACTGTACATGTACACATTGAACATGTTTGTTTCTTCAAACACTTTCCAAATAAAATGGTACAGAGTGAAAGTGTTCTTTGCTGCCAAAATATCCATTTGTCTTTTAAAGGGAATATACATCATTTGCTTTTGCTGTAATTTTCAGAAATGATGGAATTGGGGGGTTGGAAATATATAGCAAATATAGTTACACTGACTTTTTTGAGGTTTTGGGTTCGAAAATGCTATAAAAACCAAGAAAAACAATCATTTTCCTGTAGTCTGGTTCCCTGACTCCATTTAAGAAGAAACAGAGCAGTTTACATACATTTGGGAATTGTAAGGTCAGGGAACCAGTTTAGCTGGCTTGTACCCATTCATAGGTGTGTAATCGATTGCAAACAAATGCGATGGCTAATGGGGGCCAGTATTTGAAAAAAGCCAGTTTTTTTCCAACGCTGGTCGGCCGACCAGCATTGGAAATTGATACAAAAATACGACTTTTCTTGAAAATGACAGTATACCAGGTGCCATGATTTTACAAGATGCTTTACACTGTCATTCATTAACAGTCCAGCAAGGTAGGGGTACATGTATTTCAAAATGATTTGGTAGTTTTATTTTTTGATGTTTGCAAATGTTGTACATGTATTTTCCCTTTAAAAAACTCCCTAGGCCTTTTTGCTAGGATGTAGCCTCAATCCTGCAAAATCCTCCAATTGGCCTCATGGAAAAGTAGCATATAGCCTCAATCCTGCAACTTCCTCCGCTATTTCTTGAATATGGTCCATGGAGGGGTGCCCACTGCCTGAATCCTGCAAAATCCTCCGGCTATGTCTGTCAATAGGCTGAGGCAGAGGCAGTGACATCCTGGAGCAGTGCGGAGGATGCCAAGTATAATCAAGGACTAAATTTATGCACGGCTGAGCATAAACAACACAAGGTCCGGCCCAAGACCTTGACACAGTGCGTACTCCGAAATCAGCAACCCACTTTTGCCATGTAACCTCAATCCTGCAAATTCCTCCGATTTGCAAAAAGGATTTTGGAGGATTCAGGGCGGTTAGGGTTAAACACGTTTGGACACATGATGAAATTGAGGTACCGTTAGTTTGCATGAAACAAATGTAAATTCACCCTTTCAGAAACTTGACAAATGGCCGAGCTTTCCTACCATTAACATTATTTGCTAAGTACTAGCCAGTGGGCTGTTTTCATTGAGAGAGTCGGAAACATCAAACAATAACATGTTGCTTTGATGCTGTTAACCGTTCACTGGGTAAGGTGTAATAGATACCGGTTATCATTACTCATAATGCATTTTCCTGGTTCCGAACACCAGAGCTTTAATTTTCGGTCGTTAAAAAAAGTTCAAATTTATTTTAATTGGACATACATGTACATGTGTATGTAAATACTTTCATTTTAGAAATGTTGACAGTTTGTTTCTTGTGAAAACGATCAGTTTTAATTTGAAAGGGGAAGTTTCGATTAAACAAATACATTGGCATCCAGAAATGATATCTTGAATTTGTAAGTCAGGAGGAAGTTGAGTCATTTCTTCATGTATCAATTTCCATTTTAGGCTCAAACTAAAGTTGCTTATGGGAGAATGAGCAAATTCAAAGTGCAAGTAGTCTTTGTGTTGATTCTAAAGTTACAGGCCCCGCTCCTATACAAAGTACAACAAAGTACAACCTATTAAAGGGAATGTACATCATTGGCTTTTGCTTTAATTTTCAGAAATGAACTATTTGAGGGGTTAGTATAATACTCAAATTATTGTTACACTGACGTGTTTGAAGTTTTGTTTTCGAAAATGCTGGAAAAGCCAAGAAAAACAAGAATGTTCAAGTAGTCTGGTTCCCTGACTCCACTGAAGATGAAATGGATCAATTTACAGATGCCGGAAAAGTGTACGGTATTAGGGAACCAGTCTACATGTAGCTGGCCTGCACCCATTCATGAACATGAAACCAATAGCAAACAAAATTTGGACTGAAGAAAATGGTAAATTTGGAGCAGTAGTGAAAAATAGTTAGGTTTTTCCTACGGTGGTCGGCCGACCACCGTTGGAAATGTATACCAAAATGTAATTTTCTTGAAAATGACTTCACACCAGGTGCCACAATTTTACAGGATGCTTTTAGACTGTCATTTACCAACATCCTGTAAGGTATTTCTTAAAAACTTGGTCGTTTTATTTTCGATGTTTGCAAATGTTGTAGTTTCCCTTTAAATCCATCAGGTTTATATTGGACTCACCTACAGCTCTGTAACTAATTAAGCAATGTTGAAAATCAACAGGAGTGTCGTGGAAAGAGGGCAAGGTTTGGAGTTTACGAGGGGAGTTTTTGGGGAGAGCAACGATGAAGACAGCGAAATGCAACGTGGAAACTTAGATGGCGATTAACTGCAATGCACTGTGAATGCACAAAAGTGCATTTATTTACGTGGCGTCTATAGGGTCATTTAGAATTAGAAAAGACTGCTTAAGGTTGTAGAATTCATTTTAATTAATGATTTCAAAAAATTACATGGAGGAACAGAGTCTTTGCAACAGGTGCCAGTAACATACATGTACCCGTACACAATGAACATTTATCCTTCGTGATCTAACAAGCTGTTCCAATTATCGATTCAGTTGCACTACATTTGCATGTTGTTTTACATATGACACACTATGCATAGTGGGTGTGGTTTGACAACCTTTTATCAGGGTCAGGCTCCATCTACCTTGCATGCGCAGCAACAGCTGCATCTGTGTTACTGCTCATCCCCTGTTACATGTACATGTACTTGTGACCAGACTTGTGATGGACTTGTACATGATCTATGACAAGTACTGCTACATGTATATGTGTACTGCTACATGTACAATGTACCTTGACTACAGTACCGGTACCACCTCACTCTTCCAAAAAAAAGTTCTTCTCCATAGCAATACCAAAGGATTGAGCCTTCCCCCCCCCCCCCCAATGTAATGTAAATGTAACCTTCTGTATTCAGTAGGGGACGTTGAACCGTGGAGGTCAATAGGGTCCCCAATGGACCGATCCAGTAAGCTCCGCCCAGTGCGCACGTGGGCAAATTAACACGTGCTCCTCTCCAATGCCACACTGCATTTTCCTGCCGCGCGCATCATACGCGCGTGCACGCATGTCGGACTTTAGTGCACGCACGTCGGACATAAATCACGACTGTGATTGGTCAGAACACCATGGGGCGGTGCTTACTGGATCGGTCCATTCCCAAACGTCCCCAATATGGGAGGCTCCCACATCGTGTGGGAGGTCTTCCTAAAAAGTTTAAGTACAAACAACAGAGGGATAATAGGGGGTCCCCGATTGCAGGCAAACACACACTTGTATGGGGGGCAACTTCCCTTCTTTGCACTTTTCTGCTGAAATTGCGCACACAACTTGACGTGAGCATTTAAGCGTAACTGTTTCCTTTTGATTGTTCTGTTACAGGTGGTTCTTGGACATGAGATAGGCTCAGGCGCACAGTGCCTCAAGTGTGGGGATGCCTGCACAGGCCTGGAACTCCACTTCTGGAGGTAAAGAGTTGAGACAATTACTGGGATATTTAGGGGCCATTCAGAATAGTCAAAGTTTAATAGTTTCCATCTTTTTTCAAAATTGTTTTAATCTACATGTAGCCATCCATCCCAAATTTTGATTCAAACTGTTGAATGACTATTTCCTACATGTATACACTGAAGAACAAAGTTAATGCTTCAAATGAAACAGATATTTCAGGTCAATGGTCTCCCAGCTCAGGAGTTTTCAATGGCTTTTCCAGGCTTCCAGCATGCAACTTTGTAGTTGAAACAGAGGAGGAAATTGCCAAGCACACAAAACTTTGTACCACGTTTTTCAGTTTTATATAACACTATATTTTTCAAAAAGTTGACATCTTCTGAGCTGAAGTTTTAAATAACCTGATTCAGATTTATTATTTTTGTTCCTTGAATCGGCAAAAAACCCCTCTTTTTTGTGTAAATGGTGTCCGTTACATGTACCTTCAAAGTTACAGGTACATTGTAAGTTTCAGAATTGATGGATTTAAGGGTTATTTTTTTTATAGCAACTATTGTTACACTGAACTGTTAAAAGTTTTGTGTTCATAGACGCTTGGAAAAAAAATGCTGTTCTTATAGTCTGATTCCCTGACCCCACTTCAGACGAAACATAGCAATTTACATGTATACATGTAGACATCAGGGAATGTTCAGGTCAGGGAACCAGATTCAGCTGGCTTGCAACCATTCACAGGTGTGTAACTGATTGCAAACAAAATGTGGACTAACTAATTTTGGTAAATTGGGGGCAGTATTTGAAAAAAAGTCTGTTTTTTTTTTCAACGATGGTCGGCCGACCATCGTTGGAAATTCGTACAAAAATTCCACTTTTCTCAAAAATGACAGCACACCAAGAGCCATGATTTCACAGGATGCTTGAGACTACCGGTATTATTCACTTACACTTTTTACAGTCATGTTTGCAAATGGTGTGCTTTACCTTTAATGTACTCCGGTTCTCTAAGGACTTGCATGTTTGCTGCCTGATTCAGCGTATCAATCTCAAAAAGTCTCTTGCTGCACATAGACGCGGGGCCTGACATTATCCCATTCATCTGTGTGTCTTTATTTGATCTTTTTCCAGGAGAATCTGTAAGATCTGCAAGTGTTCCCCTGAGGACCATGCCGTCGTCGTGCAGGAGCAGGAGACGGTGCGCAAGGTGGGCCGGCTCTTTGACTCCACCAAGTACAAGAAGTACGCCATCGAGCGCATGACAATTGAGCATACGGAGATGATGGCCAAGCCCGAGGAAGTGCAGACTGCCAATGCTTCCCCCAGCAAGCACGTCACATTTGAGTGGATACCGCAGGGAGCCACCGAGAACATGGTGAGACGTTAATTGAAGCTTGGTTTTTTTTTGTTTTTTTTTTCCTTTTCGTTGGCTTGAAGTAAATAAGTTCCAGATGACATCTTGTGTGACATAAAAAGTCTGATTGCCGTAGGGCTGTGTCCAGCGCTATTTTCTACACGGATCATGTTCCTGATGTATTGGGGACTTGTTATCTGTAAGGGGCATGTCTGAATGCTGCATGCGTTTGACTGAAAAAAATTGCTTCAAGTCGTCTTGAAGAACCTGGGCAAATTTAGAAAATTTGTGCAACTTTTCAAAAACAGATGAGCAAACAAAAATTGTGTATAGTTTTGCAGTGCCAAATTTACGGAGCTGCTTTTGGCAGAAAATATTTGGGTGCAGATTTACTTGCTCAGCAAAATAAAAAAAACTGGGAACCAGTCACTGTGTACATCGCATGGTATTTTGGTTGGTAACCCCATAGCAAAAATGTTTCTATAGATGCTGAGTGAATCTGTGTGTTTAGCAGGTCCGTGAAATTTGCCATAGTACGCAAATATAAATACATGTACATACTTGTAAACATGCAGATTTGGAAGTGAAAAATGAGGCATCATACTGCATACATTCTATACATGTACGGTGCTTGCTGCAGCATTGAACAGGAATGAGATTCTGGACCTGTAGTTTACAAATTTGGTAAATTTTATTTCTGTTCTTGTAACTTTGCACCAAATTAAATGAGAAACAGTACATGTTCCAGTGAGTTCAAGTAAAAAAAAAAGAAAGTTGTTTATAGTCCAGCATTTTTGGAAAACAATGAAGGAGGCTGGCGCTTCCCCCCCCCCCCCCCCAAGATAGCGGATTTTCCAAGAAGGCAGATGGATTCTTCAATTTTCTTGACTATTTTGCTGATGCAAAATTGTGTCAAAAGGAGTCATTAGTCTTTCTACATACCGGTAGCTACAATTGACAATATGCATACCGGTACATATGTGTGCATGTATGCAAAATATATTACAAATGTTTGAAAATAAAAAGAAGGGAAAAAAAGGAGGCGGCCGGGAAAAAAAGGAAGCGAACATGGATGAGAACTGGTTTATTTTTTGCCCAGCCTAAAACAGTAAAGTCTACCAACAACTTTTCCACGGACTCGGCGATGTGCAAACATGTACACATACATACCGGTACATACAGTAGGCCTTTACCTTTAAATGAATTTAGAGTGCTGATCCCATTCTGGGAGCATTCCTGCAGATTCTCAGCCATTAGGAAATCAACCCCGCTGGGGGGCCATTAGAATCAACCCTGAATCCATTCCAGCTTCAAGGGAGGCACCCATCCACATACAATCCACGAGTCTAATTTGAATTTCACTTGAGAGCTCTCATGTAAAGAGAGAGAGCAGACATGTGATGCACTTGAATTGTCAGCAAGGAATCAACGGCAAAGTGCATCTGCCCGAGTAATAGGGCATCTTGAGAGTTTCTTCAATGGGAGTTAAGAATGTATCGAGGCATAAAGGATGAGCATGATTGCAACAGAATGCATGAAGATTATCCAAGCTAGGCTACACATGTACGTTTTATGTGTTTGCCATTTGGACAAGCGTCCAATCAAAGCACCCATGGCCAAGGCAGATGCATGCAAACATAGACGGCAACCAGCAACAACTTTTTGTTTGCAATTGCATAGAGATACAATGTACATATCCCAGTTTCTTTAGTTTAAGCATATTTGCTTCTCTCTTTTTAAGCCAACTTTTGTGTTACCCTACACAATTGATACTGATCTGCTTTGCCACGGGTTGAATTGCTTAAATTTATTATCATGTTTAAGGGTTAATCACCTTGAAAGGAAATAACTTCATTCATTTTCAAGGTCGAGGGCCTGCTTGTATTAACCACTTTGCGCCGGGATTATTTTTTTTTCGAAAAATTTCGATTTTCGCAAAAGGCAAAATTTTCCAGCCAACTTATGATATACAGCCAAACGCCACAAATACTGATTCACATTTTTTTCGCAAGGGTACCGGTAATTGCAACAGTATTTGTACGATATTTTTTTCTGAAACCTCATTTGTTTCAATACTCTGGGGTGTGCACCCAAGCATAAATTGTACAAGAATAGGCTGTGTACAGCAGCCAATTCAAGATCAACACACAGTCCGCCTCCACAGACTTTACGGACTTTGTGTGTGTGTACAAAAGGTATGAGGGATGAGAGAGTTTAGATGTCACCCGGAGACAAGTCGAGGCAATCTTGATGTCTTAACCCGTCAGCCATGCCTGTGAACATAAAAACAGCCAGTGCATGTAAGGCCCCCCCAAAAAATATTCGGTCTGTGGTCAGACCAAAGTTCCGGAATTGACGCGGGGACGCGGCTTTTTTTTTTTTCTTCAAGCTTGGTTTGTACAGACAAGGTGGGGTACTATTTTGCTATTTGGTGTCTTCATGTACATGTACATTGGTGTCCTCCATAATTTGCCTTGGTGCTCTCGATCCTTTGCCTTGGTGCAATTTCCCATTCCTTGGTGCTCTTTGTTAAAAAAAATTGAGGAGGTGCGGCAATAGAGGGCACTGTTGGAGCTACCACGGAACATTTTGGAGAAAAAAAAAGATTGACGTCCACGATTAAAATCGACGCGCGCACTTATTAAGAGACCTAACTTTTTGGCCTAACATGTACCGGTATCACGTCCTCCGACACCAACTGCACCGAGAATATGCATACAAGTTCATGTGTATGTTATGAGAAGTACAGACTACTAAGTTTCATACAGCACCCCTGGATAATGTTCTAAATCTTGTGTCTTTTTTGCTGTACATTTTTTTAAAAACCCTTACAGTGCACTGGTCTGTATTTGTTAGATCTTACGCGTAGTGCAGTGCATTGGGTGTCTATGCGTACATAATTGACAGCACACACTGCCACTGTTCATGGGCCCTTCGGCCTGACTGAGCGCGACGGGCAAAAATGAGATTAGTCGCACACAAAAGCCGGGCGCGATCTAATCACTCCGCCGCGAGGGATCGGTGTAACGCGGCGTGCAGTTCGCTGATCAACTGGCTGGAATTTTCACGCCTTTAGGGGGAAATTATTTCTAGTTGCGCATTTCTTAGTGGAAGATGTGTGCAAGGACTGTGGGCATCCTGTGTGACTTCAGTGATAGCCCTAGTGATGCTGCAGGGCACTGGGCTGATTGCATACACACGTGTACACACACTGTGCATTCAGTATTTCTCAATTTTGATACTGGTACATTATTTTGATCTGAGTGACTTCTTTGGTGGATGACTGATTTCCATGTGCAAAAAAATGGTGAACATGTAGGTACATGTACATGTACATGTACAACATTATCTTTTCAGCAATGGATCTGGAATTAGGTCATGCTATACAATAATTGTGCCACATATAAAGCATTGTACATGTAAGTGACGTTAAGAAACATTTCATAAAAAATGCATGACTGAGTCATACATGTACCGTGCATAGTACATGTTCATGTATCTTGTATTCATGTACAAGAAAAATGCTAATTTTTTAATAATGTTCAAAGTTGAAGTACAAAGTTACAGAAGAACATTTTACATGTACTGGTAGCATCTACGTGTAAGTCTAGATGCATTGTATCCTCTTTTTCATACCGTACAGCAAATCTTTACACCTACTATCAGGCAGGAAATTGTTGGCTGTTCAATTGGTTGTCAGTACACATTACCTTCCTATCTGATTTGTCATACAAGTACATGTACATGTACGTACATGCAATACATCACGTAGACCTATGCAGCCTACAGCACACACGTGCATTGCATCAACAATAGATGACAGCAGACCGTGACCATGGTTCACGAAAAAAAATGTTTTACGAAGAAAATCAATTGTACACAGTAGCCTACAGGTCTGAATGTAAATTTATGCTGTACAAATGGGCATGGTCAATGGCAAACATGTTGAGAACTCCAAAAATATTTTTGGGGAATAGGCCTATTATGGGAGAATGTGTATAGTGAGAATAAAAAAGTCAGAAATATTTTGTATACCCCCACTCCCTTAAAAAAAAAAGGGGGGGGAGACAACCCCCCCCCCCAAAAAAAACCCAACTTGCCAAACAAAAAACAAGACTTTTGCTTCATAATAAAAATGCCAACAACTCTGAAATTAATATGCAAATTCTCAACAAAAACACCAAAAGGGATATATGTACCCGGTATGTGATCTGCTCGTTTTAGTTTTCAAGTACCGGTAAGAACTGGTAGTACTGGTACCTGTGTACGTACCGGTACATTGTACATAACATGTTCATGTCCATGAATGCAGTGTATGTAATAATTCTGGAAATTTAAGTACATGTATAGGGCCTAGTGTGAACTGTCCTGGAATGTGCATACTTGTCTACCATACATGTACATGTACAATGTATGTACTGGTACATGCACATTGCAAAAGACAGGGGTGTGAAATCTCAGCTTTAAAGCTGATTACAGCTTTTCTTTTCTTTTTGGATTTCAGCTTTTTTCAGCTTTTCCCCTCACTTACTGTGTACAAAAGTATAGGAGATTTGCAAAGTTCAGCTTCTTTACACCTTTTTTCCAGTTATTTTCAGCTATTTTGTAAGTGGTCACTCACACCCCTGAAAAGATTTCACTTTGATTGCGCAAAAGATTTCAGTTCAATGCAGTTTTTTTTTTTTTTCAACCACAAGTCTCTGCCTCCCAAAACCTTGAAAATTGAATTTGGAAAATGAAATGACATCTAATACCTGCCAGTAAATTTGGTTTGACAGATGAAGGGATCAAATCTCAGGGTCACATGTCCAACTGACCACAGGCCGGATGCAAACACACTTAATTCAATCAATTTAATACTTAGCGCTGACCTGGATCTGCCCTGCTTATGTTACCTACAGAGATTGATCGTAGACGTGTACATGTACATCTGCAAGGGCCAATTTCATGGAGCTGCTTAAGCACAAAATTTGCTTAAGCACAAAAACATCTTGCTTAATAAAATCAGGTTACCGGCCAAA